AATCACATAATGTGGCATTAAAGTGTTGTCTGGGTACAAGCTGATTCAAATTCCCATAGTCCAAAGGTGCATACTTGTTGTCTCATGAGAGACAATTTAGATTTAACCCTGATTTTTGGCCAAAAGACCTCTAAGTAGCTTATAATAGAAACAAGATTTGGGTTCAAATGTCATTCTTCTATGATGCTCAGTTGGTTGACTTTGGGCCAGTCACTGTCTTTTATCAGCTGAACCAACCTAACAAGAGCATGTATGTGTGTGAGAGAGTGAAAGAGAAAGACCGCATAAAGATCAGGGAGAGCCAGTGCCAGTGCCAAGTTTTTTTGCACACTAGGCGAGGCTACCTTCTGCGCCCCACCCTAGTGCACCCACCAATTTTCAAACATGAATGCATCTTAGGAAGAATGAAAAACACAAAATTTGAAATTGCTAATTTCTTTTTTTTAATTGTGAGAACAAGTAATACAATATCTGATTTTCTCTCTCAAACAGAAAAACACAAAGCACAAAGCATTTTGAAAAATCCTGTTAATTGTGATGTTGAAATTTAAGTCTCTTTAATGTTTCCATTTCAGGCACATGAGAATCTCATTTTGCATGCCTTTTCTTTAGCAAATTTTGTCACCAATTCCTTCAGGTCAAGCGCTGATGCTTCAGCATGTTCAATTGAAATTGAAGTGGGGGAATCAAACCTGGTTCTCCAGATTAGAACCCACAGCTCTCAACCACTACACCTAGGAAAAGTTGGAGGGATCAGGAAAAGAGGAAGGAAGACCCAACATTGACTCAATAAAGGAAGCCATGATCCTCAGTTTTCAAGACCATAGCAAAACAGTCAACAATAGGATGTTTTGGAGGATATTAATTCATAGGGTTGTCATAAGTTGGGAGCAACTTGAAGGCACTTCACACTCACTCACTCACACACACAGTTAATGCAAGTACCTCTGCATTCATAGCAGGAAATGTCTCTGTGTGGAAGCAGCACATGTGGTCTTCTTCCTTGCCAGCCCCCTGTAAAGAAACTGTTATACATATTAGATTCCAAATAAAAAATGAAGTCAAATGAGCAAGGAATCTTTATACCCCCAAACAAAAGTATTTTTACTGATACGAGACTAAAATCTTCTCTGACCCAGATATTGCAAGGTTTTGCCCTTAAGAACTACAGAATCATGAACTTTGTACCTATTATCTTGTCTGCTAGCAATATCAGACCTACAAGGGGAAAGCCTTCTATATAACAGGCCTTTCTTAAATTCTAATAAAATATTACTTAAAAGAGAAATCCATAAAACCAAGAAAAATATGAATATGAACAATCAAGAAGAAAAAAAACCTATATATAAAAAAATCGTTATATTCCCATTCATACTACAAGCCTATGACCCAGATGAAAACATGAAATGATTGTGCATTGCGAGTTTGTGTACATAAGTTGTACAAGAGAGGAAAGAGAGGCTTTGCTCTGTAGCTCTGTTGTGCAATGGAGAGAGCCTGACAAAGCAAGCTGTGATGCAGAAGGAAGGAAGAGAGAGGGAGAAGGAAGCAGAGAACAGCCAGTTGCTCATGGGCTGCATACAAGCCCTGTGGGGTCCAGATGTTTGACACCCCTGATATAAAGTCTACAGAAGCCAACGGGGTAAGCATGCATTATACAGAGATGACATGGCCCCTGGGGTTTCACAGCAGAGCCCCAATCCCATGCATCATTATTTGGGAGTAACTCCTGTTGAAATTAGTGGCATTCACTTCTGAGTTAACATGGCTTTGGGATGCATTAATGTTTTCGTAAGTGTACTTTTAATTGCCCAGGACATAACTTCTTAATGTTGTTAACCCAAAACAGAAAGTGGGAGTCAGCAACAGTGGAGAGAAGAAAGCAAAAGAAGAGTGGCTAGATGTACAAAGTTGTACAAGAGAGGAAAGAGAGGCTTTGCTCTGTAGCTCTGTTGTGCAATTGAGAGAGCCTGACAAAGTAAAAGAAGAGTGGCCAGATGACTGGAGTGTGACCCTGAAGATAATTCATAGCACATTACAGATGTGACTCCTAACTGAAGTTGGCTGTGTGACAGAAGAGTCGTTTACATGCTTTGCCAGTGCTGACCTTGGTGTGTGGGTCACAGAGTGGCCCATAGACAATGGCCCATAGCATGCATCTTCCTGATGCAAGGATTCTGAGCTTCCACTGCCTGCCTTACAAGAGCGGTCACTGGAACTGATCCACGCTTTGGAGATGGCAAGTGTAGAAGAAGGCAAGGTAGCCAACGAGTTGAAAGAACCCTTTAGGTCAGAGGTCCCCAGAATGGTGCCTACAGGGTGCCATGGTGCCCACCAACACTTTTTCCTGCCGCCTACCAAGTAGGTGGGGTTAGGCGGGGCTTTTGCCCAGCAAGGCTTCTGATTGGCCATTGGAGATTTGATTGCCTGTGCAGATCTTTCAACAGGTTGCCTTGGCATCAGCTGCCACCATAGCACTAGGATCTTCACTGTGTGACTGAAGGTAAGCTGCAGCAGCCATTTTGTGGT